GAGGGCCTTCGGATGCCGGGCTGGTTCGCGCAGCTTCCCACATGGGCAGCGCATGTGCCCACACGCTCCCAGCACGAGGGCGCCTGCTTCCCGCCCTCCCTTCTGAAGGCCCCCAGGGAGGGTGCCTGGGGGCCTGCTCTCTGGCCCGGCCCGATGCAGCTGGCGTAGCCCCTTGCCCAGCTCTCCCGCTGTCTGAAGAGCGTGTGCTCGTGGCAGGTGCCTTGGGGCAGCAGGGCTTGGCCGAGGGGCACGGCCACGGGGTGCAACTCCGCCCCACTGGGGGCCAGGCATGCATGGCCCCGGCAGGCCTCCCGAGAACGCGTACTGCTGCCGGGGGTGGCCCTACTGGCCTGCCCCTGAGCAAGGCCTGAAAGATGGGCCCGCCCCCTCCTTCGAGGGGTCTGCCCCATGGCCGGTGGAGAGGAGAAGCCCTCAGGCTGGCCTGACTGGCGCTTTCCCAAGTCCTCCTGCCTTTGACTGCACCGACTGCGAAACTGCGTGCCGGTCTGGGGTGCCTGCCCTGGCGACTGGAGGATCGTTTTCCGCTTCAGCCACACAGACGCAGTAGTTGGTGCAAGCCAGGAACTGCCTGGTGCAAAGCCCGTCGCCCCTTAGGAGGCAGGCCGTGTTTCTTAGTGTCCGGGTCTCATGGTGTTTGTGTGGGGGGAGTGACAGACAGACAGACAGACAGATGCCTTCTCTTTGATGACCGGAGACCCCTGGCCCGTGCCTGGGGGAGCCACGCAAAGGACTCCAGCCAGGGCCTTTCCAGCTCCCAAGAGCCACAGACCGTCACAAGGCCGCAGCAAGGTGAAGATCGAGAGAAGTCCAAACACCCTCTGATGCACCGCCTGCCTGCCTGCCTGCCTGCCTGCCTGCCCCAATCCAAGGCCTCAGGTGGCAGCTCCTTGCAGCCTGAGCAACACACTTGGCAAGTCCTGCAATGCCAGAGGGCCCTGAAGGTGGGGTGCTCAGACGGGCTGGAAGCACCCTGGCCGGTCTCCTCTGAACACGACAGAGCGGCACTAGAGCTATCCTCTCGCCGCGCCCCCATCCGGGTGGAGCAGCCGCTTCATGCCGGCGGGCGCACCCCTGACTGGACACAGAGCATCCTGGGCGAGCTGCATGGGCCGAGTGGGGGTCCTGCAGGCTGAGGACTCAGCGATCAATGGGGTGGGCAGGATGGGGGCGGGGCTGCGCACCCCTTCTTCCATTTTCCAGTGGATCAGGGCATGATGCCGCTGTCTGTGGACCTCCTGCACTCATTTATGAGGTTTTCATCCCAATTTTCAGGAAAACTATCTCAGAAAGTGGCTCTCACCAGTTCAGACCTTCGTGCAGGGCTGTGGGCAGGCACTGCACCTGCATGAAATGAGGACGAGGCAGGGCCCTGCTGCAGGCACGTGATGCCGAGACAAGGCCTGCAAGGGGCGCAGAGAGGAGGTGCCTTTGTGCTGCCAGAGGGACGCGGTGCAGGCAAGCAGATGACGTCAAGGGAGGGACTGTGTCCTGGGGCTCTCCACAGCACCTGTGGGCAGGTAGGTGCACTCGGGCGTCTGCCGTGCACACCTGCTTCACACAGAGTCCAGCAGGACTCACCCCAGGAAGGGTGTTTCGGGCTGCCTCTTCCATGGCTCACAGGTGGAACCGGAGGCAGCAGGGTGAGGCGGGTGCCAAGAGCCCCAGTGCCATCGTGAGCCACGTTCTCATGAGCACAGCGCCTGGGTCATGGGAGGTCAGGGCTTCTGTGGGGGCCGTGCAGCTCCGGGGTGCAGTGCCAGTGCTTGGGCCAGGAGGAGGCCAACCGGAAAGGTGCAGGCAGTGGAAGCGAGGCCCGTCGGAAGCAGGCGGACGAGCGGGAAGGTGCTTAGGTGCAAGCGGAAGAGCAGGCGCGAGGGAGGCGCGGTGGCAGCCGTGGGGACCCGAGGGGCTTCGGGCGGAAGGTGGAGCAGGTGCGCCTAAGGGCCAGGGGAGCGCCTGAGGGTGGGGCTGCCGGGAAGCAGGCGCTGGCTAGAAGGAGCGGGGGGCTGCTGGCCTCACAGACCGAGGCAGCGGCCAGGTGGCCAGGTGCCAGGGAGGTGGCAGCATCCCTCAGCTGTGTTCCTGGGGGGATTCACGGCAAGCACCTGGCTGAAAATCCACAACTCAGGGAAGGAAATCCGTGCCTAGGAAAGCAAGCGCGGCAGCATTCTGGAACACCTTGTGCCCATTTTACTGATGGGAAGCACTAAGGACACGACCTTCCAGTCCAGAGGACAATCAGCACTGAATGGTGACCTCAAAGCGGCGCCACGAGTAGGCAAGCCACCGCAAATGCCACGTGGCACCCACACCGGTTCGGGAGCGGCCCCGGGCCTCGGCCCCAGGCAGGGCCATCGGCTCCCTGCGTGAGCTGGCCGGTTGCCCTTGGGAGCGGCCGGGTGCTGCTGCCGCCGGCCCTGCGTGGTCAGCCTCCCCCCTGCTTCTGGGGGCGTGGAGAACGGGCGACATCGATCCCCTGGGCATTTCCTCCCGAACAAGCTGACGGAGCGCAGCTCACGCACTGCGAACTGTGCCCTGCCCCTCTCCCCTCCTCGCCTCCCCCCCCCCCGCAGCCCTTGCAGTGACCTTCTGGCCCCTGGCTTGCTGAAGCAGGCCCTGCTCTCGCTCCCCTCATGCCTGCTCCCGTCAGGAGGGCCACTCGCTCTGGGTCCCACACATGTGCCCCAAGGCAGCATTTGCCATCCCGCAGCGCTGCGTGGGGTGGGGTGCTGCCTGTGCTCCCTGCAGCATTGAGCGGGGGGCTCTCCAGGTGCATCGAAACAGTCGCAGCCCACGGAGCAACTTACGAGATGCTACAGCGCAGCTTCTGGATAAAGAAAGACCCTTTGCCCAAACAAAACCACAAATGAACTGCAAAATGAAATTCCTTGCCAACATGCAGGTGCATATGGACAAGGCTTGGTGTCATGAAATATGGAAAGCAGGAAGGGAAGCGTGGGGAGACAGGCCGTTCCTGAAAGCGCGGCCCCAGCTGCGGAGCCCGGCCTGGGGAAGGACCTGCAGCCCAGCCCGCCTTGTCCGCAAGATCGCTCAGACAGACGAGCGAGGGACCACGTGAGGCGCAGGACTGACCACCTGGCTGAGGTCCTGCACACGCGCTACATGCTGGGACGCATGGCAGAAGTGAAGCATTTTGCCGTACTCGCACCTATCAGAACCACCCCACACGCACGCACACACGAGAGGAAGTCTTACTTAAGCCGGTCATGTGCATTAGCCCTTTGTCAGGCAAAAGGCTCATTTACGGAAGCGTGCCAGTCACGCTGCACCCTACTATTGGAAAGTCCCCGGCATGAACAAAACGCCCTTTTTCAAGTCCTCGGGATCCGTGGCCCTGCTCGTTTCCTCAAAGGGATCTGTAAGAGATCTGCTTGGCGGGAGTGCAAATGCCCCCTTTCTGCCGGTCGCTGAAACTGCCGCTTAACAGGAGAAGCAGAGCTTTCGGACTGCTTGCCCGTCGGAGGCCGTGGGCCCCGAGATGGTGGGAGGCCAGCTCAGGCACAGCCTCAAGGGCCTGCGGCCATGAGTGAGTGGCTCCTGCCCGCGGCTAAAATTCAAGGATGCGCAAAACTGCAGCCCTGGCCACGCCTCGCCAGCCTGAAACCCTGGGGAGAAATTGTCGGGGGATCTGGGATGACGCGGTATCGGCGCACGGGTGGCTCCCACGTGGGAGTGGAAGATTCTGAGCCCCGGAAGGCGCTTCCAGCCGGACGCCCGGCAGCTGTGCCAACTCTTCTTAGCCTGATCTACCACACAGAGTTGCCACTGTGAGGGTAAAATAGATCTCTGGAAGCACCATGGGTTCCTTCCAGAGGAAAAACGCAATATCGCAATGTTTAATGGAAGTTTTGCAGAAATTAAAAATATGGCAGCAGCAGTGGAAAGACATGGAAGCGTAACAAGTAGAGGACCGTCCAGGCTGCCCACACATCCCGTCAGGTGGGGCAGGGGGCTCACACGATGCAAGTGGCCGTGGAAAGCCGGAGCCGGCAGTAGTCCAGGCGGGGTGGGCGAGGTCAACGCGCAGGGGGCCCATGGCAGGGGGCCCCAGGAGCTGCCGGTGGGTGGCCCGCCTATTGCGGAGGGGGTCGTGTTTCCCCTCCGGAAGCGGCCCAGCGAGGGGCGTGCGCTCCCGGACCCAGGCTGCCGTCCGGCTGGCCCAGCAGCCTCCCTGCCCCTCGCCGGCCGCCTCTCCATTGCCAGCCACGCTTTCTCCGGGGGGCACCAGCCTGGCCGCTGCTTTTGCGCACGGACGGCTCTGGGTCTGGGCTGCTGCGGCACGCTGGCAGAAGCGGGCCGCTGCGGTCCCTGGCGGGCGCTGGCTATGGGCCACGCAGCACCCACGCACTACCTGACTCCGCCACCCTGGCCCATCCTCCTCTGCCCCGGGTGGCCCGGGTGAGGGTGCCCCAGGCGTGTGCTGCAGCACGGCCGTCTCTGGCCCCCCGCCGCTGCCCCGGCCCCCGGAGGCCAGTGTGCAGCAGTGGGGGGGGGGCTTGCCCAAGGAAGGCTCTCCTGGGGAGGTCTGGTGCCCCCCGCCCTGCTGCCTGCCTTCCCGTGCCCGGCTGTGGCCTGAGCTTGGCCTGAGTCTGGCTGAGTGCTTCGCCGCGCATCTGAGTTTAGGGTTGATTTCACTGCGGGCTTCAGTGCATGTGTGAACCTTGCTTTGAAGGTGCGCAAGGGTTTGTTCTGTTACTTTAATTAATTACTGCCCAGTTATTTATTCTGCAAGCCAGCTTAGGGGCTTGGTGCAGACTGAAGGGGCGGGGAGGAAAGGAACCAAATAAATGCACTGGCTCAGTGTCGGCCGCGCCAGAGCTCTGCGCGCTTCTCTTCCTGGGCCTCTTTCTTGCGACTGTGCTCTGGGGACACGCTGCGGTTTCAGGAGAAAGCGGAAGCGGAGCGATGGCACAAGGAGAGGGAAGGCTTTGCCTCTGGCCTCCGGGCACGCAACTTACCAGTCACTACGGGGTATGTCTGGGGTCCTGAGACGTTGTTCCCCAGGTCTGGGTTAGCAGAGGCGGATAGGCTTGACTTGACTTCATCAAGACCAGGGGTCAGAGCTGGGAGGGAGTACTCATTACCCTGGGGAGGAGAGAAAAGAAAGCCCTCTAGTTGATGGGCAGGAAGGAGGGGTGCGCGGGGCAGGTGGAGCGGGCGGCCGTTAGGCGGGGGTATGGCGCAGTCTGCGCACAGATGGGTGCCAACAGGGAATAAAGCAGGCGAAGAGCGCGGCTCGGCTGGGACCCCCTCTGCTGAATGCCCCCTCCCCTCATCGTCTGGACTTCTTGGGGCTGCTGGCAGGCCCTGCAAGATGGGCCTTTTCAGGGGGACGCGGGGGCCTGGGGGAGCCTGTTCGGTCCGCCACAGAAGGACGCCACCCGCTGGGCCGGTCTTTGCCAGCAAAGGTGGCTGCGGACCGTGGGGAGGGCTGGCCACGGACGGAGGGCTCCCTGGGGCATCGGCCCCGAGAGGAGGCGGTGCCGAGGGCCGGGCAGGCCCCTCCACAGCCAATCCCACGGAAGAGAAGGCTGCCGCCGTGCCTCCCCAAGCCCCTGTGCACTGGGGTATGAAATTGGGGTGGGGGCAGGCCACATGGCTAACAGAAGGGTGGGAGGGGGAAAGCTCATTGCATCTGAAAGGGGGTCCTGTCCAGGAGGCCCCGGTAATTGCCTTTGTATTGTGGCAGCCTCCAGACCAGACACGGAACCGGAGAGACTACAAAAAAGCAGGAAAAGTTGTTCTGATTAATATTACGTTAAATTAAAACTGATTTTCTGCTCCTTTTGCTTCGGCTTTTTCCCTGTCCCTGCTTCCCATGCCAGCTCCCTGTGAGCGGCCTTCCTCCTGCCGCCCTCCCTGGCCAGCCGCGATTGCCTAGTCATTTCCAATTCCTTCTTGTATTGATCTTCCTGTAGAAATCAGTTTTGTAATTAGCTGCAAATTAGGCTTTCTGCTGGGGGTGAGGCTGCCCCCTGATTTATCACCGGAGTAATTCGCTGTGATCGGAGAGAAATTAAAATGAACTCAATTAGACTTTGGATTTGCTTTATGGGCCCCATTCAGAGTTTCTGGGGGAAGAATGACTGCGCTGGTGTTTAATAGTCTAATGAAAGTAAATAAAGGTTATTCATTGTAATAAACTCGGGGACTCGGGGATAGCGGGAGCCCTCCTTCAGCATGACTGCTGGCGAGCCGCTTGGGGTAGTTTTAAGAGACTTTTGATCTTCGTGTCTGGGGATCAAAGGCGAGTCAGAGAGGCAGGGATGCCAAAGGAAAGGCCCAAGCCGCCAGAGGGTAGGCGGCGTGGGACGTGGTGGGAAAGCGCCCCATTCCTCCTGGATTGGGCCCTTCGCTCCCTTTTCTTGGCTGGCAGGAGGGGGCTGTTCCTGTGGAAACCTCCCCTGTGCTCAGCGTGCCCCCCCCCCCATTGTTGTCCGGCCTCCAGCAGCAGTAGCGGCACCAAGAGTTTGGGGAGGACGCAGGACGCGCTGCGAGCAGGGAGCTCAGACGGGGAGCCCTGTGCAAACCGGTGGAGAAGATAAGTGAAAGGGGCTCCATCAGCCAACGGGAGGCTGGCAGCCGCATCCCAAGCACGGTTCCTCAGAAGCCGGTCCCGGGCATACAGGGGTGCTCGCTCCCGGGTTGGCAAGGTGCAGCTCGCAGACCCTGACGCAGCCTCCCTGCAGCCTCCGTTTCAAGGGAGGAGGAGTTGCGCCATGCACTACCCTGCACAGGAATAGGATGCAGACGCGCGGGAGCGACTACGAAGCATCCCCGTGGAAGGCAACTGCTGATAGAAGAGCAGGAGAACTACACGAGCAAATAATTCTACCTAGAGCAGAACCCTGGCCACATGCTCCAGGCCCTACGTACCACAGGTTCCTGACAGTTTCTTTCTCTGTGCGAAACATTCTAGAAAGACCAATGGGAAGGTGATGTTTGGACAGATGCACCACGCAAAGGCCAGCCTTCTTGCCCGTCTCTCTCAAGCTCGGTGCAAGTGGCAGAGCTCAAGCGGAGAACTGCTGCTGGAACTTCCGCTCGGGGATGGGGATTAGTGTGAACAAAGATGACACGGAGGTCTTGGGTCATGTGAATGGAATCTGGTCAACAGACTCTTCAGACTGCTCTCCCTCTGGGGCCCCGGGTAAAGCAACCTGTCCTCTTGCAGGACACCCTTTCAGGCGCATGCGCTTGCTGGAGCGCATTTTCAGCAACCGATGAATCCGATGAAAGTGAGGGATGTGAGAAAATACAGAACAGCGAATGGCAGTGGCATTCCTTGCCTGCCGAGGGTTGCCTTGCGTCTGCGAGTGTCTACAGTGAGGCATCTCTGGACACACATTGCGAGCTGCCACCAGCGTGACCCGCACGAGCGCTCCCACGCGTGGCCAGGGTGCAGGGGAGGCAGCGTGCATGCCTGCTTGCCGAGACCGCATGCGCAACGCCTCTGAAGACACACCCGTCCCTCGCGGAGGCAGCCTGGGGTGGCGCTCTGAAGAAGGGTAGGTGGATGCGTTCCTGGGTGTGCACACAGAGAGCGATTTTGGAGAAGGAGTGTGGACAATCGGGGGCAAGGGGGGAATGGGTCGACGTGGACATGCCCAGCGGGCAGCTGCTGGTTCTGAGCTTTTCCGCATGGTGCTCTGAAGCAGAGCTGCAGTGACACAGACAGGACGCCACGCAGAGGGGACATGGTTCTGCACACGCCTTGAGGGCAGAAGGAGCCTCTACACCAGGAACCCGTGCGCATTTTAGGCCAGCTTTACTGCCCCAAAGAGCTCTGGGTGCTCGGAGGGTGTGGAGGGTCCACCCTGCAGGCAGCTACCCTTCCCTGGAGGGAAGAGGGGGCTCCCGTTGAGCCAGCCTGGCATCTGCGTGCAGACCTCCCTAAAGCCTGGCCAGTGTGGGCGGGGGGCACGAACAAACAGCTGTCTTCCGGCGCTGCGCGTTTCCCACAAGCTTCGTTCCCTGGGCTGCTCCACACCTGCTCAGATTTGATGTGTTCTGATGCCTGAAAGACATCAGGGTAAGAAGGACGCTCGAAGACTCGATCTAAAGCTTCCAGCTGCTGCTGTGTAAAAGTGTCGGCGCGAAGGTGCTTCCGCAAACTATCCACACTGCTCTGGGAATCGCCGTTGGGGACCGAGCCCTCGGATACTTCTGTGAGACACAGGAAGAGATAACAGGCATTAGTGAGGCTCGCCTCCTGCTTGGGGCCTGGCCGGCTCCTCTGCAGCAGCCTTGGGGGCGGCTCCGGATCAGCCACGCGTCCTTCCGCCCAGGCAGCTCCTTCCAGGGCCTTGGCCTGCTCTCCCTTTTCAGAGGCAGCCCTGCAGCCCCCACGCCAGGCTCACTCTCCACAGTGAATGCCTTACCAGGGGTGGTGCTTTGCTCGGAGCTGGAGGCCGACGTCAGCGCGGAGTTATCTGGGCTGCGGGGAATCCGGGCTTTGCGCTGAGCGCTAGTCCGGAGGATTCCTGCGTGTCAACTGACCAACCCTCACCAAAAAGTTGGGGATGGAGAGCCATGCAAAAAGCCTCGTGGAGGGGAGGAGGCAAGCTCAGGAAGAGCACAGGCGGGCCAGGCCTTTTGGCCAAGCCATGAGAAGGCGCTCGGGGGCTTGCGGCAGCGTGTCACCACCTGGCGGACTCTGTGGAGGGGCTCTCAGGCCCCACCAGCCACAGTGGCCACGTGCAGTGGCAGAGGTCAGGGACGGGGGCTCTGGGGTCTGAGTGCGTGGTTGCAGGGGCGGGGGCGGTGTTAGCCAGCTTCCACCATGAAGCACACAGTTAGCACTGCCACTTCGGGCTGTGGTTCCCTGACATGTGAGAGCAAAGAAGCCAGCAGAACTGCTTGCCGAGCCTAATTTTAGAAAGGCATACTCTGAGCACAAGCAGTTATGAATTTAAACTCACAGGAACAAATGGACTTTGCTCCTGCTATCCTGGCACTACAGACATTTACCTGGGGAAAAGCAGTGTTTGCCACGGGAAAGGGTTCTACGTACTGTAAGTGAGAGACAAGGAACGGAGCTCCGTGCCTGTGCACATGGGTGTTGCCTGCCCCATAATCTAGTGCGTTCCTCAAAAACGGCAAAAGATGCGTCAGCCAGCATCCCTGGCCGGTAGTCCCCCCATCCTCGTGCCGGCCCAGGGCTGCCGCTGCACCCTCCGTCTCCCGCCGCTCCCTGAAGGCCCAGCCCACCAGCCACAGGGTGGAAAGGGCCAGTCCTCGTTCCGGGAGGAAGCCCCTCCTCGCCCTGTGCGCACTCCTGTGCAGTCCAGGCCACCCACAGGCCGGGTCGCACTCTGTGTGTGACACGCGTTGTCAGTGCGGATTCTCAAGGCCACCCTCCTGGAGCTCTTGGCAGTGCGCCCGGAAGAGTCGGGGCGGCACTCTGCCCCGGGAAGGCCACTCCGCGCAAACCCACCTCCTCTTGCACCACGCTGGGGGAGGGTGGGTCCCCGGCACTCTGCCTCCAGCCTCTACTAAAGAAAGGGCAGCGCTGTCTTCGGTGCGATGCTTGCGCACACAAAGCGTTTCTGATGAGAGGGTTCTGCGCTGCTGTTGTGCAACAGCAGCGAGCCCGAATGGGCCGGCGTGCCCCGTGCGGAGAGCGCTCTGTCCGCGCCCGAGCACGCGGGCCGTGCGACTCCAAGCCTCCTGCGCTGCGGCCGCAGCCTCAGGGCCACCTCCGGGTCCCTGAGTCCTGCTGTGACGCACCCGCCGGGCCACATTCCTCCTGACTGCGCAGGGTGTCAGTTTATATGTGATTATACAATATGATATAATCAATACTGCATTATATACAGTAACCTAATACAAGATCCCTTGTAAGACCATGGACAATATTACATATTGATTAGTACACCCACGCAGCCTCCTGCTTCTTTCCCTCTCTGACGCTCGGGAGGGGGAGGGGGAGGGGGACCGTGGCTGGAGGTCGCCGGCTCCTTCCCCACCTCATTTCCATAGAGACAAGGTGAGGGCTGTGGGGACCAGTGGCTCCCAAAAGCGCACCGCCCACGGCTTCCCCTCCCTCTGGATCACTGCGCACACTTTGCAGGGTTGGGACCGGTGGGAGGAATGGTGGGCATGGCTCAGGACTCCCACGACGCACAGGGGAGCGGCTCGAGTGCGTGCCCAGCTCCAGCTTGTGCAGAACCTCGCCTGGGAGGAGCAGGATCTTTGCCTGCGTCTTGGGAAGGCTCAGCGTAATCACGAAAACCAGGGACACAAGGGTGCCTGCATCAGGGCCCCTCTTTGTCCAGCCTGTCCTTACCTGAGGAAAGCAAGGGAAGGACGATGCATGGCATTTAAGAAACAGATTGGCGCCTGCGGGAAGGATCTATTTGTGCGTCGGGATAGCAAACTATGGCAGTGAGAGGAACAATTAATATATGTAGCTTTCCAGGTTCTACAGTGGGCTTGACATCTGCCTTCTGTACCAAAAAATCATGTCAACGTGCTGGAGAAAGTGCAAAAGATACTGCGTGAGAACAGAGAGGGTGATGAGAACGCTGCCTAAGGACTGCCCACCCCCCGGCCTCCCACAGCAGTCCCTTCCCCATGGGCAGGCCGGAAGAACGGACTGACTGCCACGGGCACCGGAGGGTCACTTGCTTCGGTCTACATCTGCAGGCCCTCTTCTTTCCTCCCTGGAGGACCAGTATAAAAAGACAGGGCACGTGGAATCAAATCAATGCATGGAAAGGCGTACCCACTGCCCCACGACCCTCATTTAGTGCAGGAAGCACGGAGGGATAAAAAGGTGGGGGCGTGGGCAGCTGAGCGAAGGGCATATGTGTAACCCAGATCAGCGTGGAAGGCTGCAGGGAGACCATCCAAGCAGCAGGGTCATGGGGGAGGGGAGGGGAGGGGAGGGAGGCCGGCATGCCCAAGCGGGATGGCTAAGTCCACCTGGCAGAAAGGCACCACCTTCTGCAGCATCCTCCAAGGGCAGTGAGTAGCATCAAGGAAAGCTTCAGAGAGGAAACCTGCTCCTTATGCGAGGCCTCGCTCTCCCTTCCGGCTCCAAGAGCCAAGCTGTGATTCTCAGTGCTGGTAACATGAACCATCATGCAGGATAGACCTGACTGTAAATCCCTGCCGTCTCCTCCTCCTCCTCCGGCCAGAAAACTACTCTGCCATGCGTAAATAATGTCCTGTCTACCTTCAGAGGACTCAAAATATATCAAAGCACCACAGAAAATGGCTAGCAAACCCAGTTCCTTAATACAGACTGATTTATCCAAATTGCTCCCTATGTCTCCAGCCAGCCAGTCCTTCCCGCTCGTTTGCATGCACCGTCCTCCCATTTGCTTTTTGTCTACCTTTACACATTCCAGTTTCTGCTCCACCATCCCCCGTGATACTCAGAGCTCACTTTGAACATCAATAATGAAGACGGAGGGATCCAGCAGGCTAAGGGTGGGCACTGAATGGGGCAACGGTGAGTCAGAGCCGTTCCTCAGTTTTGTTGTGGATGCCGCCAACTCAGATGAAAACCCTATCCAGACAGCACGCAGCACAAAACTGCACACATGTGATCCTCAGACCTGGGCCAGGCTGGCCGTGGGACCCCGAGGGCACGTGGGCAAATACCCAGAGACATCTGGATGCATGTGCCACTTCCACATGTTCCCCTATGAAGCACAGTCCATGTGTGAAACCCACGACGACCCACCACCTAAAAATGGCACTGCAGCGCCCATTCGCCTTCCGTCCATCCTGGCCCTGCTGCTCCGCCAAGGGTTCCGTGTGACTCACGTGACGTTGGAGGGCAGCAAGCCGGACTTCCTTCCTTGCCCACCTTTCCTTTGCAGCGCTGTTCCTAAAAGCTTCGAAACCGGAGCCCCAGACCCACCCCTGTCTGGGCAGCGTGAGCTGAACTGCAACGGAACCCACGAGGCCTGCCCAGCAGCCGCCCGGGTCCCTGCGATCCGCCTCGTGCGCTTGTGTGTGCATGTGCGCATGCGCACGGCGCCACGCTGCCTGCAGGCGCTGAAACCCGAGGGCTCTCCGGCCGGCCTGCCGGGTAAGCTTCTCTTTCCCTTCATTATTCAGGCCCCTGCAGATCTTGACAAATCTGTCACTCTAAATTTGTGAGAGATTATGGTGCCCTCCTAGCATGGGGAGAGGTGATATATGATCTCTGCTGCCCCTATTGATTGCCTGATCTGGTGGCAGAGGGCCGGCAAGATGAACCTGGAATGAACATCATGCCTCAACTCATTGTGCGTATAATACACTGCTTAATCCCACATTTTTCAGCCGCTATGGAATTCAATTGATCAATCATGTCCCACTGATGGTTCTGTTCTGGGGTTATTGCCGCTCTGCGCTCAGCCTCAGCACGTCACGTGCGACAGGCCCCGTTCGGGGATGAGTGGAGGCGCCGGAGGGACGCAGGCCACGGTCCTGCTTGCACCGCCCGGGGAGCGAGCCGCCCTGCACCCCGTGGGCCTCGGCCTGACAGGCGAGAGAGGCCACGGACAGAAGATGGCTGTGCACACTGTGCCAGAGCTGAAATTCGGGTGCGTCACCAAGTCGCATTTTGTGTGAGGAGAGAAGCACGGTGATGCCATACCGAAAACAAATGAGACTCGGAAAAGTCCCATCCCCCGCCCTCCCCGGGTAAAGGATAAAGTGCTAGAAGCAAGCATTCGGATGCCTGGCCAGCCATGACTTCCAAGCGAGCCAGCCATCTGTGCCTCGCAGTGGGAGGCCTAGGGAAGTGGAGCTGGAAATTACGGGTTCTCAGGGCCCCTAAGTGCCACGAACAGCCAGGCTCCGAACAGCCGCGAACGAACACCTTCCTTCGCGCAGGCCCGCTCTGCTCTCTGCGCGGCCAAGAAGTCCCAGGCTGGTCTCACCGGGCGAGGCAGGAAAGAGCCCTGCTTAGGAAACAGGCCACCTGCAACGCTCACCCATCCATTTGTCCTCCAGACCTGTGCTTGGGGCTACTGCTTGCACAGGGCCGGGGCCGGCCAGGTGCGGCTTTTCCAGTTGTTCTGGTGCCGTCGTCTCAGAGGAAGTGTGAGTTAAACTGGCCCTGGCCCAGCAGCAGGCCAAAGGGCCAGGCGTTTCTTCCGGACGGGGCCCACCGTGCACGGCTGGACTCTGACCTCATCACACCAAGCTGATGCTCTGGGAGACGC